TTGTCTAGCTTGTGTGCGTTGTCTAATTTCGTTTTTAAGTCGATAATCTAAATCCGGAATATCAAAATCCTCTCTTAAGTGTAACAATAGATCAGAATATGAGTTAAAGTTTGCTTTGTTACTTCTAAACCACGCCAATGCAGAATCTTCTAAGAGATCGGAAAATGCTGTCAGCATACGAGATTGCGGAATCTCGCGGGCCTGTCTAAGTTCCTCTAACCTCTCAATAAAACTTCTAACGCAACCCGAACCATTATATTTTAAATTGAGTGAATTTAAGTTAATTGGTTTTTCTTTAATGACGATTAATTCCTCACTTCCATTCTTTTCATTCATCATTGCTTTCGAGATAGGCAACACATATTCATCCGTCTCTTGTTCCCTCACATCCTTCATGCCGGTTTTACTACACTTGGGAGTACCTTCCTTATCACTTAATTCGTCTGAACTACTTTCATCTTCCTGTTCTACCTGAGCTAAGATACGTATGAGCCTGTGGCGCAAATCCACAAGAGAAGCATTGTCAACCTCCAATCGAGCAAGTCTATCGATTAGATAATTAGCCCTAACTGACACACGTAAGTGGAGATTACTGTCCTTTCCGAGGTCACCTGATGACAGCAGATCCTCGAGCTCAGCAATTTTCGGCGTACATGCCTTGAGCTCGCTTGCCGGGAGTGGTGTGATCACTGGAGCACACTTGATGCTGCCACGTCTCTTCAGCTTAAAAATTTGGCGAAGCTGCTTTCTCAGTGCATCCACCGATGTGTCAGGAGCTGTGGAAATGCCAAGAATATCCAATTCATATATGATTTCATCCTTTCTTAAGTAGTTTACATATTTTTGTATAGAGAGCATTTTCTCAGATTTTTTCAAGTTAAAGTCAGTTATTTCTGTTACTAAGTTAATTATTAAGTTAATTATTAAATTACGTTTAATCAAGTTTTTAAATCAAGCTACTTATTCAAGTTATTTAATCTAAGAAAGTTAAATACAAAGGAATTTATAAAATTTTTTTTTTTTGAAGGAGGGTACTTTTATTATTACAAGTTTCAATTCTTAAAGACTATCTTGTTCACTGTTCAAGGTCAATTTTTTTACGCATCCAATCAATACGAAAGTGTTATTGTAGTATAAGTTGATTAATTCTAATGTGCTAAGTTAATTAATGCTAGTGTGTTTTTCAGACTGGTTGGGGATTTAAGCATCTATGTTTCCACCTACCTTTTTTATCATCATTTAGACACACTAGTATTCCAAAAGTATTGTTTATTAAAGTTTTTTAAGTTATTAAGTAATTTACTTCTAATGTGCTATTCAGACTGATTGGGGATTTTAAGCATTAAATTTTTCCACCAATCTTTTTATCATCATATTAACACATTAGTACAAATTCTAAATATTAAAGATTTTTAAGTTAATTTTTTTTTTTTTGATTAGATGTTAAATTCTAGTGTGCCGTTCAGACTGATTGGGGATTTAAGCATTTATTTTTCCGCCAACCTTTTTATCATCATACCAGCACACCAGTATTTCCCTCAAATACAGTATTTTATTGCTCGGCCCTAAAGTTGGTCGCCATTTTGTAACAATTTTAGTTACCACCGACTATTTCAGGGCTTACATGAGACTCGAAACTTATTTAATTTAAAATCAGGGCGCCGTGATACTGTGATTTGAGGGAGATAAATGAAAATGTCTAAAACCGCAGTGAACAAGATATTATATTGTTAAAAAGATTCAGATCTTATCTCATCATGGTTAAAACTTAATACTAGTCACATTCAAGTTAAAAATACATAGTTATATTTCTTCAAAGATTTTTCTTTTGATTTAAAGCTATTCAAACATTCAAGATCATGTGCTAATACAGTAATACTCAATTTAAGTTTCTTATATAAACAAATTATTAAACAAGTTATAAAATACTAAGTTTTAAAAATTTAACAATAAAAATTTGTTATGTACTTATAATGGCTTTACAGTTTACCAATAGAAATCCTTTATCACGTTAAACAGAAATTGTTCTCCGGAGTATGCACTGGTTAAATATCAAGAAGTTATAAGTTTTACTTAGCTTGGCAAGATCATGGGAGCATCAGGATGACTCAAATGTCCTCAGGGATGAAGCAGGAATTGCTGTCATCACGTGAACCCGTCACTTTTTGCTCAAGAAAGCTTCACAGGCTCATATATATATTTTTCCAAGGAGATTCCAGTCAGGATCAAGTAATTGTGATTATTATTGTTATTAATTAGCCAAATTAATGGACCTAGAACCAATTACATATTTTTCTATAATTCAATAAAAAAACTAACTGGACCTACAGCCGAACGAATCAAATGTATTGAACTTACCCGTTAATCCGGGGAGAAATATCAAGTATATGATGCACTGACTACCACTGCTAGTCTTAATGCTATTTTCTAAGTATGGTCTTCAAGGTTCTATCAGCCAAAAGAGAGCGAATCTGTTTGTGCACTGCTATTTATAGGCTACTACAACACGTGACAGCGTCATTGCAAATTTCTCTCATATCACCATATTTGGTATGAGGAAGCACACGGACCGGTTTTGCTGACTCCGCCTTTCAATGTTTCCAGAACATTAATGTGACGTCACATCCATTTCCGCATCTCATTAAAAAAAATTACACACTAGCTCCCTCTAACTTACATTCCAAATGCAACTACTAGGTTCACACATATATTGTACTTGTCCTTTGCTTTTCAAAGTGGATTTCGATATTGAATAATTTATATGCATGATGATAGATGGCGCTGAATAAATAATAATATTTCTACGACTTAATATTTAAGAATTATATTGCTAAGTTTTTAACGTTATTAAATTTAATTGCTACAATCTATTATCGTCAATAATTTGCAAAAGAAACTTAACTCTGTAGCTGGTGTTTCCACCACGTGTCGTTATTGCAGCTTCCATCGGGTTTTTCACTGACCTTATTAATGTTATTATGTAATCTTAAGGTATACCTTCCTACGCCTCCTAAACAGCCACTTTTAAATCCTGAAGGATTTCTGGGGGCAGACTTCTGGCCCTGAATCTTCTCTTCAGCTGGTCCCATAGATGTTCAATTGGATTAAGATCAGGGCTTCTTGCCACTCCTAACAAGAATTCCCACTTCACGCAGGTACTGGTAAACCATTACAGCCGTATGTGGTCGGGCTTTGTCCTTCATAAGTGTGAAGCCCTAACCTATAAATCCAGCGTATAGCATTACATGTGGTTCTTGAACCTCCTGGACGTAGCGTTGTGCAGTCAAGCTGCGAGGTCCAGACGCGAACTAACGATCAGTTTTTCCTTCTAAGGAAATCCCGCCCAAAACAGTCCATGAACCTCCTCCAAAGGACACTCGTTCTTCGATACAAACCTGTGCAAATCGTTCTCTTTCTCTTCGGTACACTTTTCTGCGCCAATCGTTTCCATGAAGGTTGATTTCATTTTTTAGGTTGACACTCAATTCATTTCTTTTAGGGTGACACTCAACCGAGACCAATATGAGCTACTATTGTTAGTGCTGGACACTCTCACTCCCTCGTGAGCTCGAGCAACCTCAATCGCGCTTGGTGATGGGCGGGGGTTAATTTTAGACCATTAGCGGGTTTTTTTTTATTTATTATTAGCTCACAAAACAAGTTACAATTATATAAAACCAAACTGTAACTATATATATATCTAATATAGGGTTTGTGAGGATGCAATCCTCTTCATGCAAGTTTTCGTCGTAGTCCATTCACTTCAGTTACTCCACGAACATTGAGAAGCCGCTGTTACACCTGAACACCAGTTAAATGTCGATTTCTCAGACACGTGGACACTATAAATCGATCATCTCAGTTTGAAGTAGCCCGAATCCTTTCAGAACCTGGTCTTCTATTGAAGCTTCCGGTCTCTAAAAACCTTCGGTACACTCGTCTTACTGCTGGAAGACTTAGGTGAAGACGCCTAGCTACAACACGCTGACTCGTTCCTGCCTGGATCAGTGCAACAACTTGAACGCACTCTGTGGGAGTAGTATCAATTTTGACAGAGAGTGAAAACAATGAAACTTAAGCTAAATGGTCACTTAATTAGTAAAAACTGAGTTTAATTAGTAAAAAATAAATAATGAGAAATGAGGTTTTTGAATAAATGTGTCAATATCAACATTTCATTTTACGAAGTGAATGGTATATGAAAATAAAGTTTATGATACATACCTTCAAATTAAATTAAGAGTTAATATTCTCTCATTTCAACATAATTGTATTTCGAATTGAAATTTGCGGGGTGGGTCGATTTTTTTGCACGTAAGTATAGTTTTCATAAGATTATTGGTCATTAAAGCCATCTAACACAGAACCAGCACTACCTGGGTGTACATCTCATGGTCAACATGCGACCCTCTCGTGAACTTCGAGATCAGGAAGGCGCGGTGAAAGCAAGACAAGCATGCAAGCAAAGGGTTGTGTGAATTGCCTCAGTTTGGTCAACTTACAACCCGCCCGCAAACAGCATACGTCTGGAGTGGATTGATTTACAGAACATTATTGTTTAACATTATGTTTGTAAAAGTCCATATTTATGAAGAAAACCAACCACCCGAGGCGAGGCGGTGCTGGTCGGGTGCCAGATAGCTATAATGAGACGACCTCTATTTTCTTAGGGATAGTTTGGGCTTAGCTATAAACATTATGAAAATCGAATCATCCCCTCATCTCTTTTCTAGATAATGTAAGTAAACAAACGTATAAGAATAAACTATTATATCGAAAATTATATAGGTTGGTGTATATCTGCAACTCAATATATTCCTAAAATGTACTACGGAGAGATTGTTTAAAATTACTTTAAAACTTCTATTTATTTGCTGAATGTCTTGCTGTAAATTTTTATAAAACAGCTAAGGCTAGCCCGTCTTCTACTAATAAACTAGAAATCTCTGCAACAGTTGACGCAAAATAATATTAACTTTCATATTCTCATTGACATTCAGATCACGGAGGATACCCCGGTCGCAACTACGTTACCCACGGCGTAGTTGGTGTTGTTGGTTACGGTTACTTGGACGACAAACACACCCCATATCACGGTCACGGCGGTACTTACGATTACAGCGGATATGACAGAGGGGGTTACGAAGATTACGACGGTTACGGTGGCTACACAGGAGGCTATAAAGGATACGGAGGAGGTTATAAGGGATACGGAGGAGGCTATAAGGGTTACGGCGGAGGCTACAAAGGTTACGGCGGAGGCTATTCTGGATATGACCAAGGCGGATACGGGGTGAATTCGCTCTATGGTAACGGCGGCTATGGAGGTTACGGAGGCAACGGCGGCTATGGAGGCTACGGAGGCAACGGCGGACATCATTCGTACTACGGTTACAACAGTCCTACATATGAGGGCGGATACCATCTTGGCTATGGATATTATGGCAAGAACAGAGGTCACGGCAATATTTACCACAGCGGTATTACGCCCAGCCTTGTCACAGGTTACAGAGGATACTCTAGGCGATAATGTGATATTATTTTTCTGTCTGGCAGTAGGTATAATATAAAATTGCCTTATAATGTGATGTATATAGTGAATTCTTTTTTTAACCATGTTAGATAATTTAATGATAATCAGAATTTGTAAAACTCCTATTTAATGTAGTACATAAAATATAATGCAATAACGATAGAACCTATTTAAGTTAACCAAAGTACTATCCAAAGTTATTTTGTAAGTAGCTATAGACAAACTATAAATTTTTTTATGTGATGAAAATAAATAAACTGTTTACTTAAGTTTCAAAACTTTATTTACTAACAATGTGACATACACGTATTCTTAGTCATACATGCTACTTCATTATAGTAAATTATAGCAACATTAAAATTAAATTAAAACATCAATAGGTTGTAAACCTACAATAAAGTCGGCAATGCTTAGTGTAAACAGTATACCTTTATTAGCTAGTCGGAACCGGACACACTAGTTTGCTTTTTCATTGATTTTAACGCCCTCTCGCGTAATTTCTTCTCAAGGTCTTCGTTATTCACTTTTCCCTCCTCTTCCTCTTCCTCCATCTCCTCACTGTCAGAAGAATCATCCTTCTTTTTCGATGACTTCTTGTGTTTCTTATGTTTCTTGTGTTTTTTAGAGTGTTTCTTATGTTTTTTAGCCTTTTTGGATTTCTTAGGTTCATCACTGTCGGATTCCGATTCGGATTCAGATACCTTTTTCTTTGCCCTCTTTTTAGATACTTGATCACTGTCGGAAGAGGAATCGTCCTTTTCTCGTTTCTTGGCTTTTTTATCGCCTTCTTCGCGCGACTTTGATTTGTGATCTTCAGGGTGTTTAGGTTTTACCTTATCATCTCCTTTTTTGGATTTCGTTACTTCAGGCGAAGGCTGTTTTTCTTTCGGTGGGTCTCCTTTCTTACTGCGTTTTGCATCCTTTTCTGAACTGGACGTATCACGTTTAGCTACTTTCTTTTTACTAGATTTTTCATCACTATCAGAACTATCATCGTGCGAATCTTCAGAATTCTCGACTTTCTTTGACTTAGATTGTTTGACTTCAACTTTTTCAGATTTCGATCTATCAACACTGGTGTCTTTTGGCCGCTTCTTAGACTTTTTGTCATTGTCAGATTCTTCTGGAATGTTCTTCTGTTTTTTAGAGCTCTTGTGTTTAACTTCCTCTTCAGAACTAGAGTCTGAGCTTGAAGACCGAGCTCTCTTCCGTCTAGATTTCTTTGCCACCTTCTTCTTAGACGTCTTTTTACTTTTCTTCTTCCTTTCCTCCTCCGAGTCGGAAGAGGAGGACTCTTCAGATTCGCTATCGCTTGAAGAGCTTTCCTTTTTAGGTTTTTTAGCTTTTTTTGAAGGAACCTTCTCCTTCCTCTTAAGTTTAGCTTTGCTCTTTGACTTAGCAACCTCTTCACTGCTTTCACTTTCAGACTCCGAACGATGCGGTTTACGTTTACCTCTTTTGACCTCCTTCACTTTATTTTCTTCCTCTTGTTGTTCTTTGCCAGACGCGTCATCGCCAGATTTATCCGATTTCTTATTACTCTCAATTTCATGCTTCCTCAAGAATGGTGATGGAGTTCGTGACAGGCTCTTTGAATATTCCCTAAGAGTTGGTATGGGAATAAAATCTTCTCTATCTTCCTCATCGGAAGACTGGATTGTTTTAATCTGACTATCTTCTTGTACAGTGTTGGATTTGTCATTGACAACTGAAGACTCCCTGCTAGAACTAGAAAGGACTCTCTCCTTTGAAAGTTCCTCTCGAGCCACAGACACGCGTTCTGAAGACTTCTTCCGTACCTTTTCCATTGTTTCTGCAGAAAAAAGAGCATATTAGAATATATTACGAAATAAAGTTTTAAATTAGCAGTCAGCAAAAGTAATAAATATTTAGCTACAAACCTTTTCTGGGAATCGAAACAGACTTTTCCAAACGTTCCTTAATAAGGTCGCTGGACCTCTTGTCGCGGGATCTTCTGTCTCTTGATCTCCTATCTTTAGTTCTGTCCTTGGATCTCCTGTCTCTGCTACAAAACAATAGTAAATCGTTATTCTAATAATATAGATAAAGTAAAGAATTTAAGTTCTTAAAATCAAACGAGAATATTTATTGTACTTCTTGACGTGCTAATTTGTCATCATATTGTAGCAAACAACTATCTCAAATAAAACATACGATTCAATTTTCGTTTGATTTTAAGAACTTCTTTATCCTGATAATAAATGGCTAGACGAGCTTCCTCATAATTATTACGCTATGAATCTTTATCCCGATGTTGCAGAAGTGTAGCCCGTTCCGTTCATTAGTTCCAGCTGCATCTGCGATTCAAAGAACCCACCAATCATGTGACGTCAAGGCCTATCTCAAATTCCATTCATAGATAAGGTCTGTGCCCAGCAGTGGGGATATTAACAGGCTGGAGATGATGATGACTCTTTTAACCCCCGCTTACACCAAAGTATAATACAATTTTATACAATGTCTTCACTTTTTGTTTACATTTGCATAAAACATGTAGTATACATAACTTGCAGGAACTTGTTGGATGAACTAAATAATATGTGAAGTAAAAAGTGATTTATACTTGTAAAGATACTAATTGTCTATGCAGTGTAAACGAAATGTTTAACAGTCATAACAAGTATTTTACAATTATGTTTCAATTTTTTAAGCATTTAACTGCTAGATGTTAAAATCTAAACAAAAGTTGACTAGAAATGACTAGATGGGACTGAAACCCGCACCCTTACCTATCCGGGCGAATGCACTGACCATTATCTCTTCTTTCAAATGCTTAATACTTTTAAAAGTAATCATTTGACGTTGTGGGTTACCTACAATGCGAAGAAATGGCGCTGCCTAGCAGCCTAAGGTTAGAAAAAAATCGACTCGGCCGTCCGGGCCGCGGTAGCATAATGGTCAGTGCATTCGCCCGGATAGCGAAGGGTGCAGGTTCGAGTCCTGTCTGCTGCCTGGACCGCGTAGACTTTTTTCAAGTAAACTTTTCATTAGATTTAAGTATTTTATAAGTTTACTGTAAAAGTTATATGTATAGGACTTTTTATTGGTGTAAGCGAAGGGTTATATGGTTCCTTAAATATGTAAAATGTAGTCCCAGTTACCTGGACCTATCCCTGGAGCGTCGATCCCTGGACCTTCGTTCCCGTGAGCGGCGGTCCCGCGACCCTCTCCCGGAGCGACGCCTCGAGCGGGATCGCCTGCGGGACCGGGACCGGCGTCGGTCGCGAGATCTGATTATACCACATATTATATTTTTACTAGCGGCCGCCCGCGACTGCGTCCGCGTTGACGTTGACGTCCGATTTTTCGAATATTTAACAGTAACCCGACATTGTTCCGGTATAAGAAGTATCCTATGTTTCAACCCTGGTCATAAACTTTGTCCATACCAAATTTAATCCGTCAATTTGGTAAAACGTCAATTTGTCTTTCATGTGTCCTTGTTTTACAATAGACCTAAAGGCTCATCAATAGATAATCATAAATAATTCAAATCCAAACGCCGAATGATGAGTATTGAGCAGAAACTTGGACTTGGAACGTGCAATTAATAACTCGCAATCGACTGAAACCGAGGCTCCTGACTGGCAAAGAGCCCATCAACCAAAACCACAAATGTAGAAAGATAACAGAGTCACCGTCACCGGAAAGATAAAAACGGAGACCAGATATAGTATTCTAGCTGTAGTCGCAAAAGAATGATCTGAACGCAAGGAAAGAAAGCCTAGCAAGCATCGACCTATAACGTATCCCTGGAGCGTTCATCCCTGGACCTTCGTTCTCGCGAGCGGCGGTCCCGCGACCCTCTCCCGGAGCGACGCCTTGAGCGGGATCGCCTACGGGACCGGCGTCGGTCGCTTGATCATATACCACATATAGTGCGATTCAAATAAGAATAGAAAAGCCAATGACCTCCATCTGTCAAAAGCCTCTTGAAAAGTACGGTTTGCAAAAAAAAACTTGGAACCCTTTTTAGCACTCAGCTAATTCTAGAATAAAAATCAAACATTTGTAAACAAACAATAACAAAGATTGACAATTAATATTGTTTGATATTTTTTTTCAATTTATTGAGCTTTGGCTATGACTGGTTGATAACCTAAATCGTCAACAAAATGTCACTTTGAGTTGAGTTCATAAAATCGATTTAAAACTTTCGTTTACATCAATGATGCATGTTCGTATGTGACCTAGTAATAGTTTATAATTATCCGTAACTACTCCGGCGGTAATGCAGAGATGAACGGAATTGAAGAGCTAGATTCTGATTAATGTTTTTTCTCACAGTTTTAATAAATAAATATTATTAAAAATCGGTTGTTTTTTTCTCAATCTTAGTAAATAAATTTTATTAAAAAAATCTGTTTTTTTTTTCTCTCTCTTAGTAAATAAGTTTTATTAAGTAAAAACTTTTTTTGCTCACTCTACCTATTTGGTTTGAATTGACAGCTATGACGTCACAATATGGCGCCCAGTCGGTCCTATTCTTAGTTGAATCGCATTATATTATATTTATACTAGCGGCCGTCCGCACATCGTGTGCGTTGTTGAATCCGTGACTAGTCCTCGGCGAACAATTTACCATAATACGCGGACAAAAGTCCGTCGTCTGCGCTGTCCATTACACTTATAAGATCGTAAATAGAAAACAGCTGGGACTAAATTGTTTAAAACTTAATATGTTATTAAAATTTGTCAAAGTAGGATTCAGCGTTTTAGGCGTAAAAACGTAATAAACAAACTCACGTGCGCAATAATAACACTAGTTAGAACTTTAATGTTAGATAATTAAATCTAAATGTACAGAAATAATGTTACATAGGAAAAAATCGACAGACGGTTTAGGCTGGAATTAATTCCTTTTGGCTAACTTTAAAATGTATAAAACGAAATTAAGGCAACAAGAACGTCTCTACCTACATCTTTTTATACTAAGGGTACACATAATAATCACTTAGCACGGTACGAGTAAAATGATCCGAAGAATATGGCTGCTTAACTTTGCAATCTACACATGAAAATAATTTTGATGCATTCTTAATTGCATAATTATCTACAAGGATTTCGTTTATACTTGATGATTTCTTTTAAAAGCTTCACACTTGCACAAATACACAGTAGTAGAACTGACGACTCCAGACTTCATAATAAATAAATGTTTATTATACGAGAATTTAGTGAATGAGTCATGCATTTACTATTAAAATTCAAAATCTGAAGTAAGAAATCAGCATTAATACTAATCTGAATGCTTAATCAGCAATAAATTTTCGCAATAAGACTAAGATGCTCAAATAAAAAGAAATAATAAACAAACTGGGATTAGAGCTCATGATAACAATAAAACATAATAAAAAGCAAACTATGTAGCCAAACACCTCTGTGAATCAGTATTTCATTAAATATAAATATTCATAGCTGTACAACAAAATATTATGTTTTTTATTAAGCCAAATAAGTTTTTTACCTTGAACGTCGTCGAGACCTCGATCGGGATCGTCTACGTCTTTCAAGCGACCGACGACGTTCACGGGACCTGCAATGAGATCGTAATCCAGAAACGAAGATGCGACCGAGATCTTGTTAATCGGAACAAATTTTTGGGAAAGAACAGATAAGCCTTCTCATTTATTTATTTACCCTTTCTGAGTTTTCAAATACGCTATTTGACAGTATGGAAAATAAAGTACCGTTATTGACATGTGTATTTAACATGAATATTTGGGAGCGATTTCACTATTCTGACAAAGAAAAAGTAGTTGATAATATTACTATAAATAATGAAATAAAAAAGATATTTTTGATCCATCTTCAAACGGTCGAATACACCTAGGATTGGCGGATACAATGACGTCACACGCTTGTAAACATGCTGTCGAAGTGACAGTACTTTGTAGTGTTTGACATTTTAATGATAGACGTGTGACGTCACACGTCTGTAAGACGCCAACATATTAGACATATCCGACCGACATATTTGAGAATTTTTATTTTCGTTTTTACTGATATACGCAACAGAATTATAAATATCCAGTTTTTATAAAGTCACTACACACTAATAAATAATGTATGAACGTTTTCAAAACTTGTCACATAGCCTATTCCCTGAAAGTTAAAGAGATTTACGTTGTTATGTCATATAAGATCCACAAGATCTTGGTCGCAATGTATTCAGCGAAAGAGCTCTAATCGTACTAAGCTAAAAAAGGAGAATGATATAAAGGGAGTAATATAAGTACACTCACCTTTCCCTCCTCTCTCTTTCGCGACGGCGACGTTCCCTCTCTCTGTCTCTTTCCCTCTCGCGTTCGCGTTCTCGGTCCCTCTCGCGTCGATCCAATGATCTGCGACGACTGGTACGGCGGCGAGACTTGCTTCTGTATTGAAAATAAAGAAAACCCCTTGAAATGCTCCAATTCACAGCCGTATCCACGCAGTGTTACCTGTCCAAACGTCAAAACTGGGCAGATAAGGGTGAGAAACAAAGTAATCGTGCGGCTACATACATAGATCCAAATAGACGCAGCAAGTATATTTACTTCGCGTACCAAAAACATGCCAAAAGTATTTAAATTATCTTATTATACCATAATCAGCTTAAAAACGATAGAACTGAAACAGGTTTGCCGGTGCCCATGCTTTTCCACCACCAAATTTGCCATCAAAATATAGCACGCACGGTTTTCATATAATTTGAAGGACATGCGTCGTCTACTTAAATCTAGGTTTGTGCTACCATCGCTATCACCTCTGTAGTATTGTCAATTTCATGTGTGTCGCTCAGTCCATTCTCCTTTTCTCATAAATTCAATTGCTTTAGGGATACGTTAAAATGCCCCCTTAGAATCTTTCTTCAAGATGAAACCCTTTACAGTAACGCGAATAATAAATAGATTTTGTCAATCACACCAAACTTACTGTATAAAACTACCCTCTCCCTGCCTACCGCTTAAATATGTTATTCTTGTAGAGAAAATTCCTTTAAGGTAACAAAAATAAATAGATTTTGTCAATCACACAAAAGTTGCTGTATATAAACTAACCTCTCTCTTCGGGAACTGCGTCTTGGACTAACGCTGGTAGAAGAATCTCGGTTGGAGCGGTACTGACGTTTCTTGTGTGACGACCTCTTCTTCGCACTACCATCTATGAATCAATATTGTTATATTAAATGTAATTAAATAATAATATTCCCCACACTTGCACCAATTAGCCTAGCCCCAAAGTAAGCACTGTAAGGCTTATGTTTTGCGATGCTAGGGTAACAGCTAGAATACATATATTTGATACATTATATGAGTATTTTTATATAGAAATGTACTATAACATCCATGACTAAGTACAAATGCTCGTATTCATCATACTAACACATTGAAAATCGGCGTATATACCACTGCCACGAAAGTCGTCAAGGAAAATTTAATAAACGTGCAAAAAAAAGATCCCTAGAATGCACAATGATATGCAGCAAAAATACAATGATTATATCATTTCATATTTGAAGAGCTCGATGGCGCAGTGGTTATATTACTAGCTCGGTTTGCGATCCTAGAATTGGAGCTACTTTCGTAGTGACCATATGCGTCAAAAAGTATACGATAATATCTATATCTTGAGCTCCTTTAAGCTTGAAAGAGCATTTTATCAAATTAATGTAATTTTATTATATTTCAATTCTAAAAAATTTGATAACAATAATGTTTTTTAAGTCAGTTATTTATTTTAAATGAAAATTTAAGATATAAAATTTCTCTTTTGCTATTTTTTTCTTATAAATTTAACTGTGCCTTTTGATTACAACACCGTGACTTTTGACTACCGAATCGTGCCCTAATTTGAATATTTGCAACTGTTTACTCATAGTTGGCAATAAGGCTCATGATTAAACTAAAATCGTTTCATTAACATACCAATTACGAGTAACAGAGTTGATAAAATTTTAAAAAACTTACGTGACGACGCCGATGTAGACCGCCTCTCGCTAGACGAGCGATGCCCTTTCTCAGCGGGTTTCTCTTCAGCCGGCTTTTCACCTGTGGATCTGTAGAAAACTAAATATAATAACAGACACAAGATTCAAAATAAATAAAAAGAAAATTTATATCACAGTACCAGATTATTTACTTTAAGTTTATATATAAATTATGTTTTTATGTAATAACTTCATAGCGGGTTCCCGCGACTTTCTTCGTGTGCAAAAATTTGAATTCCCATACAAACTTCCATCCCCCTTTTCACCCTGTTAAAGGATAATTTCTGGGATTTCTTTACTGGGACTCTAACTATCTCTATACCAAATTTAATCTTAATTAGCGTTTTAAATAGTAGTTTTTAGGGTTGCGCACCTCAAAAGAAAAAAAACGGAACCCTTATAGGATCACTTTGTTGTCCGTCCGTCCAGACTGACCGGATCAAGACCGTTTTTCTCAGGAACGCGTGGAGAAATCAAACTGAAATTCATATCTAATAATCATGTCTACTGTCCCTTGGAGCTGTGAAAAAATCAAACTGGCTTAGAGCCAAAGTAATCAAAAGATACAGCCGTTTATGCCGCAAATACTTAAATTAAACGAATATTTAAATTATAAATGACATCATAATATTATTCTTATTAAATGAATTGATTAGTTTTGATTATTATCCTATTGAATATAATGTATACAATTTTTTTTTCTATCTTATTACGGATTTATTAATGAAATTGTATTTTTATTTTGTTATTGTTTTCTTAGAAATATAAATGGAAATATTCCTTTTGCATGCTATATGGCTAAATAGGCTTAAAGCTACCTTTATATCTTTGTTAACATGAACATTTCAATGTACCCACCCTATTTAATGGCAAATAAAGAATTTGAATTTGAAAATTTCCGCAAATTTTCGAAACTCGCACGGGAATCAAAACCTTCCTTCCTTTCCGTGAACTTAATCTTGAAATTTGGTACGAAGTAACTAACGTCTTATAGTACAGATAAAGAAACAATTGCGAAAACCGTAAATTTTTAGTTATATTATATCATCATCATCATCATCATCATCGACCCATGCTCGTCCACTGCTGGACATAGGTCTCTCCTAATGCACGCCACTGCTCCCGATTTTCTGCCACTCTCATCCAGCCCACTCCAGCCAGCCTACGAATGTCATCATCCCATCTTGTCTCAGGGCGTCCCACACTACGTTTACCGAGTCGCGGTCTCCACTCAAGAACTTTACGGCTCAATCGGCCGTCAGTTCAGTTATATTATATAATAAAAAATATTTTTGAAAATTTTAAAGTTACTACCTCTTTTCTCATGAGCGCGTAGAGGTATTAAATTGAGTTTGCACGGAACCCTCGGTGCGCGAGACCGACCTCGAACTTGGTCGGTTTATTGATTCTTTGAAACACTAAGCCATTGGTTAATATGACAGAAAAGACATTTTTATTTATTAATTTTAATTTGTTTACTTTGCTGGTGAAGCTGTTCTGGATTTCGCCTGGGACTCGTCAATAGTCTCCTCCTCTACAACAGAGACTTCTTGCTTGTCCTCGACAACGGGCTCAGCTGTAGAGTTATGGTTCACTTCTTCTTTCTCCTCTGCTTCTTCCTTCCTCTCCGGGGATTTTCCATTTTCTACAAAGGCAATAACTATGAATATCGAATAGTCAGGAGAATACACACTGATTACTTTTTTTTAAAAATATTAACATACACATCTTTATATATATAATTCTTCTGTGAGTGTGTATGTCACTGAACTTCTCTTAAACGACTGGACCGATTTTGATGAAATTTTTTGTGTGTGTTCAAGGGGATCTGAGAATGGTTTAGATTCACAATTTTGTCCGCTGGACAACCCCTATTTTTTTAGGGCGGTACGAAGTTCGCTGGGTCAGCTAGTATTATTATAAAACTGAAAAATTAAGAGTTATCTACAATGACTCAACCAGGGATCGAACCGAAGCACTCTGAGATAGCAACGCTGAAAGTGTAGTGCGCATCACAGGACTATACAAAAATTGTTAAAGTTTTTGAAAATTACATAGCGACAATTTATATAGATTTGTTGCGATTATGTTACTTTACGAAGCTGCCAAAACTCGTTCTTGGGCGTCTGACATCTATAGTTAGCATTTACAACGCACCTTTGGCTTGCGGCAACTTGATGTCGTCAATATTGGTCTTGGACTGGCTGCTGTTGTCGCGGCCCTCCTTGTCGCGGCTACGTCGCCTGGAACGCCGCGGGCTGCCACCGTTGCGATGTCTGTTACAAATTATTCTCAATTATGTACTTTACTTAGCATTACTTAACTTAATTCAAAAAAATTCAAAATTCAATATCGTTTATTCAGTCTAGGCTGTTACAAGCACTTGTGAATGTCGAAAAGCTACGCCATCGGTTCGCAAATCTACGGCGGGAGACCTTGTACTGAGAAGAACCGGCAAGAAACTCAGCAAGGGCTGTTTTTTTCTCCCTGTATTGTATACAGAGTCGTCAAATTGAAAAATGACTTCAATATGAGGTAACTCATAAAGTCACTTTCCATTACAAATGCTAATATAATAAAAATTATGACTATATAAAAAACTAGTTTAACAAAGTTTAGGAATGCCGTGTCCTGCTGTTTAGGCAAAAAAAAAAAAAAATTACATTATCTATCATCATCAGCCTATTAATCCCCACTGCTGGGGCACAGGCCTTCCCTATGGATGGAATAGGGAAACCGGACCATGACCCACCACGCGGGCCCAGTGCGGATTGGCGGGTGCTAACGGCTGAAGATGCAGCCGGGACCAACGGCTTAACGTGCCTTCCGAAGCACGAAGGAACTCGAGGAGAGAGACGTAAAGTTAATGACCTTGTGAGGTTGTAGGGGTAATATACGCTGGACCGACGAAATCGCCAAGATAGTGGGCAAAACCTGGAAGCGTGTAGCAAGGAATCTGGTCGCGTGGAGAAACCATGAAGAGGCCTATACCCGACAATATGTGAACCCGGGCTTAAGAAGAAGAAGTTTGAATATGATACTACACCGATTTTGAAAACTATTTTACCAAATATTTGTGAGTGTCAAAGTCATAGGCTACTAATCTTAATATATATAAATCTCGTGTCACAATGTTTGTCCTCAATGGACTCCTAAACCACTTAACCGATTATAATAAAATTCGCACACCATGTGCAGATCGAACCAACTTGAGAGATAGGATAGTTTAAATCTCAAATTATAGTCGCAATTTTAATTTATTGCAAATTATTACTTTTGGGCGGTACGAAGTTCGCCGAGTCAGCTAGTTTATTATAAACATGAAATTTAATAAAAGTTAAGTATCAAATAACTCCTGGGGGCTAGTGAAATTCTGGTAAACGTTTTTAAGTGTTAGGGCCTTATACATGTTTGTCACCTAAAAATATAAATAATAATTAAAAAAAGTTCTACTTACTTCCTGTCATTTGAACGATCTCTGGATCGGGACCGGGAGCGGCGACGATCACGCGAGCGCCGCCGCGAGCGGGAGCGAGACCGCGACCGACGCCTGTCTTTGTCCTTATCCTTGTCCTTCTGCTGCTCTTCCTAAATTAATGGATTTTTTGTTGAATATAGGTACATTCGTTCATAAGAACCCAAGCTGTTTGCAAATATCTCTATACGTAGAAGTTCCATTCTGCTTTGGTTTATCCACTTAAAATGTGCAATGGGTTTTAATTTGGTTTCCGCTATCAGCTCAATACCACACAAATCAGTAAAGAATTGAAGATAATGAAAATGTATAATACAATCCTGAGAACTAAAACTATAATACTGGTATGATTCTCTAAACCTAAACTTTAATTTGACAACAGTGTATCCTTGTCATTCTCTAAACAAAATGAAAAGGAAAGACTGATGTTAAACTAAGTTTTAATAATTATGTCGGTATTGACACCAGTACCAAATTAGTGAGTCTACTATTCACGCAAGATGAAGCAGATGAAGGAATAAGTTGAGACACTTACCATTCTTTTCTTTATCTCTTCTTTCTTCTGCTGAGTGAAGGATTCCGGAATCCCGTTCTCACTGGCTTGAGCGCTTAGCAACAGTTCCCATAACTCGCCCATGAAAAGGCGTGCGTTCTTCCCGTTCAAGAAGCCAGTCAAGTTGATCTGCATTTTCTTAGGGCAAGGGAACTAGGAGTCGAGGATTCAGGATCGGGAAAGAAAAATTCATCAAATTATTCACATTATCACGCAAAACACAATATATCACATCCTACCACAAACTGTAATGCTGCTTTATATCATCGATAACAAATGAGATGTTTAGAACCACTTGTTTGATGGAAAAACTAAAATTCACAACATTCTTCTTATAAGCCGTTAAGAGCGCTGATTATTTGGATTGAATTAATTTGTAACTAAAGTATGGCACCGAAATGACTCTGGTAGGGAAGCTAACAGGGAAATGGTGTTCAACGTGTGATTAGTTTTCTTAGCGACGGCTGCCGCTGAAGCAGATGCGATGACGGCTGGACTGCGGGCGCCGGCGAGATGCGCGGCGACTGCAACGATGCTCAGCGACACCGCGACCTCTGCTGAAGACCAATAGTTCCTTTCTTCTCTCTTCTACCTCTTGCATCTGTAAGGGTGTTGCGAACACAACCACATTATGCTGAACGCAAAGCCTACAGGCGAAACTTCCTTACCCCGAGTCAGATCTTTCTCTTAACGGCTTCAATTGTTAAAATGTCTCTTTAACTAACTGTCTCCAAGTGTATTTAGTTATCTCAAACTAGGGAACACCTCAGCGCATATTCATTTATACTGAGTTAGCTTGTAAGAATTTAATTTCCCCGTAAATACCGATTTAGTATGCTAAGGCCTCCGAAAGAGTGGAGCCGGCGGGCAGCGGCGGCTAGCAGGCGGCGGCGGGCGGCGGCAGCGACGGCGCGCTAACCGACGAGGACCATAGAAATATCCATACGCAATCAATATACATATGACAGTATATTTCAATTGCAGTTTCTTTTAAAACATTGATTGTAAACATTTAAAAAATAACCATCAGAGTATGGCTTCCTACTACAATACAGTATGGAAAAGAAACTGCAATGATTACATTTTGGTATTGACATTTTAATGTAGTGTAATGAATTTAATTGACATAACCACCTTTTCCTCAAGTTGATTGTTGACATAGTCAATGACCACATCATCTTCCATCTTGAGAATTTCTGTGATCTTCTGAGTTATCCATGGTTTCAGGACATCCAGCTTCACCTTGGACATATCCACCTGTATAAACGTTAAGAGTTTTCGTATAACTAAATATAGTTGAATGAATTATTTCAATTGTTTGAAAATGTATGAAAAATAACATATTTTATTTGTGAAACTTAATACATAATTAGAAATAATTATTTGGGATTTTAATTTCCAACTTCTTTTCATTTACCCCAAGCAATATAGTAAAGCCAAATAACAAAATTTTGCCAGACTAGCTTTTTACAGATGTAAGGGTAGGTCGTATGAATTTTTCGGATACTTCTGTAACTTCAATTCAATGCCCGTTTTAGCGCCATATTAACGAGGCATAACTTTAAAAGTATTTATTAAATAAAAAAAGGTTTATTCAAAAGTTTTAGGGAATTTAATATATTTAATAAATTTATAAAAAGTTTTTTATCAATTAATGGCATTTTTAAGGTTTTATAACTGAAAAACTACGAAAATGTTCAAATAAACAATAATAATTGAAAAACGGTAAGAGTTACAGTAAAAAGTTTTTGACAAAAAAGTTTGGGAATTTAGTAATAAATAAAAAAGCACTACAATAGGCTAGTTTACTCATGTCGAATTGTATTAAATAAATGTTTATTTCTTAAAGTGTTTAGTCTAAGGAACCTTAATATATCGATTTCACTTCATAAAAGCAGAAGATTGCTGTAGAAATTTAATTTTAAAAAATATTTTTTAGTCTATATTTTTTAAACACTAAAAACGCTGTTCGCCACATTCGCCATGATTTTGACGTCTCTTGTGGTAAACAACTAAATGTCATTCGCGTGTTACTGTAGGTGGATTCTTTCGTCTTGACTAAATTTATCTAAAAACACTTTTAACTTTAGGAAAGAAAAAAACAGTAAACTTAAGTTTTTTTTGACTAAACAAATTATGGATGCCGGCTTTGTGAAAGCAGAAAGCACAAATCTGCCAAGAATTGACGCATTGATGGTTGGTGAATTTGTTGCACTAAACCCCGATTTCTGCTCTGCGGAGCAGAGAAACGACAAGGCATCTATGTAAGTACAGTGCATTTAGTATTACAATGTAGTAATAAACATAAAACTGATACAACATATGAATAAGTGTAATAAAGTTGCGTAGGTTAATTTCTTTCGGCACTTTAATCCACAACTTTCCTGGAGTCTTCAAGGATGTGTTTTTATGTTCTCGTACAATACAGTAATGATAATTACTTTATTTTTCGTGGTATTTATTAGAAATCATGTCTTTTTTTATTATAAACTCAGTTAAAAGTAATTTTCTACGTGTTTACGAGTTTTTGTTTACCACAGTTCACGTCATAGCATAGACAATCTATAGACTAAAATGGCCGACAGCGTTTTTGTATGTCCATGAAAAGTCTATTTTAAAATTAAAGATTTGTAGCTTTCTAGGTTTAAAAAAAATACAATACATTTTTTTTCGGTCTAATAGAACATTTATTAACCATTTAAAACCTTTTTCCAAAAAGGGTCAACTAGCCTATTTTTTCCGTAAAAGTCAATAATTTTGGATATATAGTGATAAACGCGTTTTCCAATATGGCGGCCAGTTGTGACCATCCTACATTCCCTGATTCTTAAATTTGAGCTTCTTATGCCCTAACCTAACATCAGTAAAAAAACTACTAGAGTGCGGAAAACAAATGCAATACGATCAAGTAGGTATATCCGCGATCCCTATCTCTTGGGATAATTTGATTGGGGCTATTATCATGGCCATGGGCTGTTAATATTTGTTTTCCACCTTCAAACAAACAGTCTTGGGACACAAAAAAATAAGCAAAAATATTATTGTACATTCAAAACTTAATAACCTGCTGTGTCAAACAATCACCAAACTTCATTTGCTTCATCAGCTTCTTCTCCTTGTCGCTGAAGCGTGTATCCTGCTCGGTGCTTGTCCCCTTTTATGAAAAAATACATTTATTTTAAATCTTATCTAATGTATTTACTGTTCTGACTACTATGTAAGACTGACTACTACAGTACCTAAGTATTGAGCTGACCATTCTTCTAATATAGCTTTATATTCAGTTTGGCGATGTACCTAAATGCCTAATTCAATTTTTTTATTGAATTTGGTTTGCTGTCTGGTATGTTGTCCTACACATACACTCATTACCTTAGCATTGAAATTGTATTTGTTGTCACAATTTTATAGAAAAGATTTACTTAAGATATATTTATTTTTAACTACATAATTCTAAAGCAGGTATTACTTTGTTAAAACTCTATGTACCTACTCTATATATTCTATGTCATAGCCGTGTGTCGTCCACTCGACACCTACCAGTCTGAGCAAGGCGCCCGCCCCGACGATGGCGGGTGTCGTCAATCTCGCAACCACTAGCTCGCCCTATCAGGACCTACGCGAATGTTTGCTTTGCCCACGTATCTCCGTCGCGTCTTAAACCACTACAAACGCTGCAAAATCGTGTGTTTCGCGGTGCCACGGGTTGCCCGTGGTACGTGCGCAACATCGATTTGCATCGCGGTTTCAAATTAGACTCCATCGCGAAGTATATGAAGGACGCCTTGAGACGTTACTTCGATAAAGCCGCGCATCATCCAAACCCCAGTAGTCAAAGTCTCTACCTATCACACGTCCGCCCTCCCGTCCTCCAATCGTACGTAGAGCATACTTACACACTGGCTTAGCATTAGGCAGACACCACACCCGTAGGATAAGAGTGCGAAGACCCGGTCTACACACGACACACTATACCAGGTACAGGTACGTACCTGGGTGTTTTTCCCCGCCCCCTACTACTAACTAGAGCCGAGGTTGGAGTCTCAGAGACGCCCTCTAATTAAGTCGACCCCCTCAAGTTCAAATGGTCAAGAGGCTCCAGACAGAGAGGAGAATCCCCCCGCGGGGAGATGCCATCAGCCCGGAATACCTCTAGAGGCACTTGCCTATTCTCGGCTTGAGCTCCCCTTAGGATCTCGCCGTCCCCAAACCCGGTGACGCTATAAAGGTCATCTGCGACCAACAGCATACACACTCAAAAAAACCTACTAGCTGGAGCAAGACGCCTGTCTCGACGATGACGTGTGTCGCCTACCTGACACCCACCAGCCTGAGCAAGATGCCTGCCCAACAATGGCGTGTATCGTCCATCTCATACCTACTTATTTTCTCCTTGGATTTCTGTTTGTTTCATTTTGCAATACCACCTAACTTAGCTAAAACTATCCATAATTTGCAAACAATATCTCCCAACTACATTTTGTTTAGTAAACCATAGGACTTTCTTATATTCACTAATGTCATAAATTGAATGAAATGCTCAATGAACAAAATCTTTGAAAATAATGTAAAATATTATGTGGTTACAAAAAAATTATAATACTGAAAGTCAAAGTAACAATTTAAGTATTTAAAATAAGTTACATTAAAAATATGTTATGCAATTGATAGTTTTATTAAAGCATATTGCCTAACATGGATGTACATTTGTGTTTTTGGCACCTCCAGTAAAAAGGTATATTTAATGGAGATGCCACAAATAGTTATTTAGCAGAATACTGAACATTAGGCGAAGCTCTTGGCCGAATATTCGGCAACACTTAGTACTTTCCGTGGATCACAACTTGTCACTTTAGAGTTTAAACTTACATCGCTTAAGTAGTACATAAGTGCAGGCACTTTTGTTTAATTAGAATTGGTGGTCAGAAAACAAAACAATATCCAACCCTTTCATAATTGGCTGAGATTTATTTATCATCTCCCAGTAGCAAGTGTGTGTGTTTTGGAAAGGAGATATAATTTATGAGAAAAAAATTATATGCTATCGAAAAATGCTGAAAAAATTGTTTACATTCATCATACATACTGACATGTTAGATTTTGAATATAAATATTTAATTTATGGATAAATAAAGGCTCACCTTTCCATTATATGTAATTGAGTTGCAAGCTGAAATTTTTGTCACGCAAAGTATTAACTATTAAAAACACGTACACGAAATCTTTTTTGGCGGAAACGAATAGAACTCGAGAAAAAAATTATTGAAAATTAATATTTTTGTAGGTTATGAGTCAATTTTGACAACATTTTTTTTTTCGCAATTTTCATGATCAGTGCTGCCATTTTTTTATGCAAAAATAACATGTTTCTCGTTGTCTATGGTAAATATAAGTTTATTATGTTGGTACTATTGTCAAAATGTGACAATTTACCGCCATTAATGAGATCTGTTAGTCAGTGTTTGTGTTTAAACTTGTTTTATTTAAACGGCTAAACTATATATCTAAGGCCCAAGTGGTGATACTTCACACTAGGCTAGGTTAGGTTAGTGTTGTGACCTTAACGCGCGAGCCGAGCGAGCGAAGCGAGCGTGCCGCGGTATCGGCCGGCGAAGCACCAGAAAGAAAAATTTGTTAATAGACTTTTTCTACAGAAAAATCAAATATCACCTCTAGGCGCTGGAAGTACAGATTTACCTTTAAAACTCCTCTAATTTTTTATAATTATCATTTCTGTAAAAAAACGCCGGGAGGGGGGGGGGGTTACCCTTCCCTCTGAGGGGTCTTCCCTAATACCTATCCCCCTGAAATTCCACTGCTGCTCCAAAACTGCATTTCCGCCAAAAATCATTTATTGCGGGGTCGGGGGGAGCCCCCCCTCCCCCTCCCCTACAAATTACCCCGAAATTCAATTACATATAATGGAATTAAGTACCAAAAAAGTGGCAGAATAGCCAAATACCAAATAGTAGCCGAATATTCATGGCAGCTTTACTATTTACTTGCTAATTATCATTTGATGCAGATATCATTTTAAAATAAATTTCTTTGCTCTTTTCAATCCTCTAGTCATTCATTTCAATCTAGTGAAAAAAGTAATCCAAAATACCTCTTTACCACAAAAAAATTAGTCATGCATTCAACACAAGTGTAAAAAAGGGCATACAAAATTTGCCTAACATGGTTTGAAACCTTTTCAAACTTTTTCATGTATTCTATCCAACTGAACGAACCTGTCATGCAAACATTCTTTCAACAGCTGAAGTGTAAGAAACCGACACAACCTATCTTGAATGCATAATTATATTCAGTGATCAGCAGAAATAAAATATAGCCACTCAAAATGCATTGCACCACATATTAATTGATTTCTGAGGAGCAGGTTGACAGAGCATAGGACTCCACAGTAAAACATAGCGTGATATCGAATGACCTAAGCTTTTATTTAAAAGTGTGCATGAGAACATTTTTGAGGTAATAATTATATCGAATTTGTGTCCTGCTTGCTTTCATTTTGCAAAACAGAATATTGATTGCAGTTACTGTTACTTAAATTACTTCAGTTACAGATAAAAAAATACCACTTCTCTCAAGCTAAACCGTAGTAGGTCAAGTTAGCTTTAAAAATGGAAAATTAATGTACTGTATCGGTCCAATCATCACATGAAATTAAATACTTAACAACAAAAAACACGTCATGTTAAGAAACATACTTAAAAAAGAGGCAGATAACTTTTCTCAAAAACTTACCGTGTACATCATCATCTTGAGGGAAGATAATCAATACGAAAAGAACAAAATGGCTTGGCTAGGGTTATCCCATCTACCCCGCCGCGCGGTTTACTCACAACCTTTGTAAATTATCATATGACCATTAATTTTCAAACTGATGTAAACACTATACTTTGACCATTTGCTGTAAAATTACAGCGTTGTCTTAACTTTAAGTAATAATCAAAACCACTTTTAGTCAAAAAAAGTCAGTGTTCAGGTTCAGACGCCATGACAAGACGGCCATTTTGTTGGAAACGCAGACTCAGTGTTGCCAACTCGGATTTTGAAAAAGGCGTAGGCCCGATGACAAAATTACGTAGAATTAGTAAAATTTGCATGTGAAAAGTTCGTAGATCTACGTATTTTTTCTGAGAGAACTTAGTTCGTTAAAACGAGTATTTTGTTATACAATTTATTTAAAAAAAAGGAGATAGAACATAGAATTCTTGGAGAAGACGCTACATTGGCAGCATTTACCATGTTGTGGTAGACATTTACCATCAGACACAGACGCTGCTAGGTGTCAATTTTGGCATAATTCTCTAAACTTAGCACTAAATTTAACATCAGTGGTGTCGATTCTAGCATGATTCTCTAAATCTAAACTTAAATTTGACAGCAGTATATCCTTGTCATTCTCTATACAGAATGAAAAGGAGAGACTGATGTTAAATTTAGTTTTAAGTTTAGAGAATCACGCCAGAATTGGTACCAGTCTCTCCTTTTCATTCTGTGTAAAGAATGACAAGAATACACTGTTATCATATAGGGTAGTTGACACTTTTTGAAAATATGTTTTAAATGGTCATTAGACCGTAAAAAATGTATTGTAGTAATAATCATAATTGTGCTATGCGAGAATGTAAAATCACAATGTTAAAAACTCCAGAAAATTTGTGGTTTAAATTGCCCAGAGAAATAAACATATCTACACATGAACACATGTTTAAAACTTGCTAAATCCTGTAACTTTAGCGACTGAAAGTCATTTCTTTTTGCAAAGATCATTTCGGTGTAAGTACATATTCAATAATATTTTAAGTTAAAAAAAAAATAAGTTTATTAATGTACCTACAAAGTAAGAGTGCTTTGTCGTTTCTGCTTGTACAAATTCGGCGTCTAGTAGGCATGCGTCCGATATATCAAAACGAATCCAAAATCCGATTTCAAACACAAATCGATACCGAACGATTTCTCAACAAGAAAATCCGATTTTAGAAATCTAACCGAACCAAAACGCTAGCTAGCGATCTAATACCACAAGTATCCAAATGTAAATCGCATTCGAAATTCGTGCTTTCGTTTTCGGAAGTCAGATTTCGTGCTCGGAAGTCCGATTTCGATTTGCTGTTTACGGAAATCTATTGCTCTTCTCTGAGGCGGGATTATTTATCACTGAAAAGATATGTCGTCTAAAAACATCAAAAGTCGAGCAACTTACATTTTTGGACGCTAACCTGAAGAAATTAGGTTTGATTTTGTAAATGGTTTGAAAAATAATAAAAACAAACAGAAAAAAAAAAAAATACTAAAAACATATGTAAAAAGAAATCATTGTATAAAAGCCGATTTTTAAATGCGCCGCAAAAGTTTTACTCTTAACCGTAAACATATCTTTTCTCCTAGTCCTAAGCCTAGATTTAAAGCATGAAGGAAAATCTACGAGTATCCTTGCTTCCTACAATTAATTGTTTGTGATTGTCGTTAGCTAATAAAACCAAATCATTGTTGAGTTGTAAAGTACTCTGTGACATTTGTGATCTATGTCTTGGTAGTCTGTGGTTTGAAAGACATGCTAAAAATAGAAATAGGAGAAGGATGTAATAAATAAAACCAGTGTTAAATAAAACAGTATATTATATTAACCAGTTACAATATAATAAAAAGGCGTTTGAGTTACCCTGGTGTGCCCCGTAGCGACCTGAAATTCTACAGGTTATGGGCCCAGGCCGCGAAAAATCATAAAATAAAACCAAGAAAAATCAGCCGGAAAAGCACGTGTTGCTACCGAAGGAAAAAACAGAAATACAAACCAGAAAACAAAATAAAATGAGTGACGAAGTGAAAATTGAAAAATTGAAAGACGGTGAAAGTTTTTTACTATGGAAATTCGAGTTGGGCATTTATTTGAAGGCACAAAAATTAAGTTAGGTTATGATACCAAAGCAAGATCAGTCGACTACAGTAATATCCGATTTCCAAACAAAAGATGCCAAAGTACAATCTCTCATTATTAATACAATCGACAGAAAATTAAAGGGACATATTTTAGGTTGCTCAAATGCCCTGGAAATGTACACAAAACTGTGCAATATATTTGAAGGCTGCGAAGAAAGAAATAAGTCTTCATTATTACAAGAATTCTTTACTTTCAAATTAGAAAACAGAACTCTGACACAATTAATATCAGACATTGAAAATTTAAAGTTTAGATTGAATCAAATTGGGCAAAACATAAATGAAGCAATGGTCATGTCAAAAATATTAACTTGTTTACCTAATAACCTGAGTTATTTTATTACTGCATGGGAATCTACACCGGATGATAAAAAGAATTTAACTAACTTAACTAACAGATTACTAAATGAAGAAAGTAGATTAAATGAAAATAAGAGTGAAAATAACCAACTAGCATTCAAGGTCATAAGAAAGGAAAATATTATAAAATGTTATAAATGTAATAAAACAGGACATATGAAGAAAGATTGTAAAATGTGTTCTATATGTAAGAAATATAACCATGAAGAAAAAGACTGTAAGTACAAAGCAAAACAGTGTTCTATATGTAAGAAGACGAACCATAAAGAAGAAAATTGTTTTTACAAAAATAAGTCAATAAATAAAAATAGATCAGAAGTGGCACTTTTTACTACAACAGGAAGTAATGATTCCAAGAGATTAAATTTCATTGTCGACTCAGGGTGTACAACACATATGACAAATGATATTGAAATAATAAGTGAGTTAGAAGAGAAATATTCTACAGTTTTAACTGCAAATAATGAGCCATTACAAGTTCAAGGCCAAGGAATTATACATGGAGATGGTTGTTATTTACAAAAAACATTATATGTTCCTGATTTAACACAAAACTTATTATCTGTGAATGCCATTACAAATAACAAAGGAACTGTTGTGTTTACTGAAAACAAGGTTGAAATATATAAAGACTCAGAATTGTTATTAAAAGGACAAAAAGAAAATGGTTTGTATACAATAAATTTAAAGAAGTCAGATAAAATAAATACAAATGAACAGTCATTATTAATGAAAAGTGAAGGAACTGCTACAGAATGGCATAAGAGATTGGGTCATCCAGGAAAGAAAACATTAGAAATATTAGAAGAGGTAGCAGACGGAATAAAAATACAAGGGTCAATGAAAAGTAATATATGTGAAATATGTACACAAGCAAAGCAAACAAGATTACCATTCAGTACAGTAAGAACCAGAGCTTATAGACCTTTACAGTTATTACATACAGATGTATGTGGTCCATTTGAAAATAAAACATATGATGGTTACAACTACGTCTTAACCATTATGGATGACTATACCCATTTAACAAAAATATATCTATTAAAACACAAAAGTGAAGTAAAAGAAAATATAATAAATTATATAAAAGAGATGGAAAGAGAAAGAAAAGAAAAGGTATCAGTAATCAGATGTGATAATGGTGGTGAATATACCAGTAATAATTTTAAAGAATGGTGTAAGAAAAAGGGAATAAAATTAGACTTGACAGTACCATACACACCGCAGTTGAACGGCAAAGCTGAAAGGCTAAACAGAACATTGCTTGATAAAACAAGAGCATTATTGTTTGATTCAGACTTAAATAAGGAAATGTGGGGTGAAGCCATGTACTGTGCTACATATTTAATAAATAGGTTACCTACTAAAACATTAAACAACAAAACTCCATTTGAAATGTGGTATAACAAAAGACCTAACTTAGCCAATATACAAAAATTTGGTTCAAGTGTATATGCAAAGCAACTCGGTACAAATACAAAGAAATTAGATCCAAGAAGCAAGAA